ACCCCGTGTCCCTTGCATCGTCAGGCGGACTCTCAACCACTGCGCCAGCAGGGAAGCCCCTACTGCAATCTTAAAGGCAGTTTTCTTTAACCATAGCCAACCTCAAGCAATTTGACCGAGTGGAAAATATTCAGCATGATCACACTGAAACTGTCTCAAATATGAATGAATGAATGAATGAATGGATATAAAATGAATGAATCACTGAGTACAAATGTAAAATTCTAAGGACTAGTGGGGAAGGCCCCTTTCACATCGCCAACACCACTGTCAGCCTGGAATCTGGTCCAAATTTTGGATGCTCTCTAAAATTTGTGCTGCTTTTCCCTTCCCCTTCCTAATGTCCATACCCCCCAAAACAGCACTGCTGATACCAGAAGCAGAGAGCAAAGACCGGTGAAGTCAGCAGGTGCCCCCACTGTGTACCAGCCATTTTGGAGCAGATAAAGCCATTAAGGAAAAATTTAACAATGTATAACCTTTCAGCTTTACTCTGCTCACAGCAGGTAGCATGCCTTTTAGAGACACAAGCCAGCAATGAAGTCACCAGTGAGCAGGACTTGACCTTCCTTTTCAGTGTGTGCAACGTTAAATATTCATAATGCACTGAACTGCAGCATAAGAAGCAGTGGCGTTTAAACATGAATCAAAGGGATAAATATCTTCACACAGGCGAGTCATCCTTTCCAAGAATACCCCTGGAAAAAATGCAAATACCCAGGGCCCTGAGCCTCTACCTCTTCCAACGTTCTTCCCTTGAAAATTCTAGAAGCAGCAGGAACCGATGCATTATGCAGTCCAAGAATCCTGCCCTCACACTGACATCTTTGGGTCTTTTTTCTTTTTTTTCTTTATCTGTTAGAGAAGAATTACTGAACCTATGTCAAAGGGAGGAAATAGACAGGGATGGGACCAGCAACAGTGACAGCATCACCCACGGGGCGTCTCGGGGCACTTCTGACGTCGTCGTACAATTTTTTAAAAATCTTTGCTTCACATTAGATCAGAGTGTGTGGAAGTAAAGGGGGGGGGGGGGCGCGTAGGTATCGAGAGACGTCAAAATTAGAAGTTGGAGTGCCTTAAATTGGGCACCTTTAAAAAGAATGCAAGTTAAGAGTAAATCCTAGGAGTGTTCGTCATAAGGAAAAAAAAATGTTTTTTCTTTAAAATTTTGTAACTATGTGAGATGCTGGGTGTTCACTAAACTTACTGGGGTCATCATTTCATGATGTACGTAAGTCAAATCATTATGCTGTACACCTTAACTTATACAGTGCTGTATGTCAATCATATCTCAGTAAAACTGGAAGGAAAAAAAGAAGGAAAAAGAACTGGAGTTTTTTGGGATAGTATCTGCCTCATGTGGCCATTCAATGTCTTTGGGGGGATGGAACTACTGTGTGTGGTGGGCTTAATGCTTCTCTGTGTCTGTTAAGGAACTGACATCTGTGTCCATCCAAAGACTGGGTGGAACATCTCCCTCTGCTCGGGTGTTTCTAGATAGTCTACTGCTGGGATGATGAAGCATAATGTTAACATAGTTTCATGTAATTCTCTTTGGCTTTCCAATCTAGGAGCTCTGAGCACAATCTGTCTCGGACAGATAGTAATCACTTGAGGCTGCACAAGTGATTTCTTCTGTGGCGACCACTCTAAGAAAATTACACCCAAAGAAGGGCCTCCCAAACCCTTGAACGTAAAAGACCTACTCAGGGATCCATCCTGACTTAACAATGGAAAAGGAAAGAAGTTTGGGAGAAGTCGTCTTTGGAAATGACTTACCTGCTGCCTCTCGATGGTGAAATAAGCTTGGAAAGGTTAAGAAAATCATAAACCCACCAACTATGACATTTATCTGAACTGCCTGTCCACTTATGCAACCTGCATTGGCCTGCCCTGACAGTGAGTTAGCAGAGCCGACCAACAGAGCCTGTTTTCTATATTAATGTGCGTTCCTTACACTATTTAAAGGGCTAGGTCAGACAGCCTCACATCTTGAACTTGTGCTGCTGGGGCATTCTCCACCATTTTGGTTAAAACTCACCGAGACAAGCCATTTCACGGACCATGTCTGCCCAGTTAGGTTCACACAAGGGAAAGCCTAGGCACTGTCTTTTGATTTATTTATTTGAAGAGTATAAATACTAACTAAAATTCATCTGAAGAACACTAGGTACTTTTTTCCAGGGTGATGATTTAGCGTAACTTCCAAGAGACGTTTGAAGCTCTCTTTCCAAGATGCCCAGATGGCCAGCCAAACCACGAGTGTGTAAAACCGGTGAGAGTTTTGAATGAAAGGGAGGGATGAATTTTAAGAATTTACATTCTGCTTTCTTACCCGCTTTTCATTTGCATCTTATATGTGGATAGAACTTCTTGTTTACTATGCTTGATTATAATTTATCTAATGGGCTCTTTTTTCATTCCTGGGAATGAATCTATGGCTTATCGTGGAGGTAACTTTTAGATTCTACTTTAATTCATCCCCTTACTTACACAGTGAGCATCCTTACTGGCTTTCCCCAGGAAGATAGTAGACCCTTGGTATTGACTATGCTGATGAGTTCCCCCTTAGGACAAACTCCTGGGGTTTGACCTCAGAACCCAATGTAGTAATTCCAATGAAAAGTAGAAAGGGCTACACAAATAAACATAAGATCTTCTTATAAACAAAAAGGCTCACTATGCCAAACCACTCAGTTTAGTGACAGAGAAGAAAGACTGAGGTTAGGATGAGGCTGAAATGGTCCCCAGGGAGAGTGAGGACAGTCTTGGTTCTAAGATTCTTGGCATTTTTTGCTGGGAAAAGCTGAGCACAGGACCAAAGGTCCATCCTTAGAATAGACTCTTTGCAAGTCCATAAAAGAAACCAGAACCAGAGAGGGTTCCCAGTACTGGCTTTCCCAGGCTCAGCAGAATCATAACTAAATCCAAAGGACACTGAAGTGGTGCAGGGCATCCAGGGATGAGGGGTCTTGCCTTGGGAGATTCTATTCCTTTCCCTCCTTTCATGTGGAGCTGAAAACACCAAGAACTACAGAGCAAAAGACCGCCCCATAGTAGAGACTATAAAAAAGGACACAATTCAAATCCATCTTACAAGAGCATTTTATTTCTGAGAAATATAGAGGAGCAAAAAGGAAGAGACAAGGAAAGAAGGCGCCAAGGCATCTGTCCTTCTGGTCGATCACCACACTCACCTCCACATAAGGGTGTGCCTGCTGGGGCTCACAGACTACGTGCCGGAAAGTACTTTCTGAGCCCTGGCACAGAAGTTGGCAGGGTACACACCCCATGACTTGTGAGAATACTCCTCACCCCTGGGGAGAAAATGGAGAGGTAAGACCAGGAGCTTTAAAAGATCTTTGGTTCAATTCAAATGTGATCGAGAATTATTAAGAGGAGATATTTAAATGGGGCTTACCTTCAATGACATACCAATTGGAGTTTTCCAAACTTAAAAAACTCTTCTCTTTCTCGGCCAGGAAGAGCTGATGGAAGAGTGCGTGGAATCTCAACTCCTGGAGGACTTTTCAAGGCCCCTCCACCTGAGACGGGCAAGGGCAGCCCAGCCTTGTGCATGGGGATGGGCTGAAGGACCGCTGATATTCTAGATGTGGCTGGTTCCCAGAGACAGGTGATGTTTTCTTTATTTTCCTTGGCATGATTTTGGCTCAACACCCAAATGCACAAAATCCTTTGGCAGGTGACCAGTAACTCTTGAGAAATTCAGAGTTTAGGCATGCATGAAATTACTACAGAAAAAGAGCCACGGAAAGAGAACACTGAGCTCAAAATTCAGGCACACCAGGCTCTGAGCCAACAGGGATACCAAGCAGGTTTCCTCAGATCAAACTCCAGCATCCAGGTGTACCAGGGTGAGAGTTCAGGGAATCAAAAACACTCCTACAGTGGATGATGTAGGCAACAGAGCTCAAGGCCACCGTCCAGGTGTCAGGTGCATGTCCCCACAGAAAGGAGTCAGACCAGCTCAGCTCCCGTTTCCCAAATGCTGTCAACTTCAAGCTTGTGACAGAACATTTGGAACAAATGATGTACCGAGGGGGTGACACGTGCAGGAACCAGGGCAGAACCGGCTGCCACCTAGCAGCTCTGCTCAGTGCCCCCTTCTGCCTCCTTCAAAGCCTTTTCTGTCCATGGCTCAGACAGACCCCACCCCAGGCTCACCCCAGAGCACCAGTTCACTCAGCCGGCGCCCCAGGGGTCTGCACGAGTGTCCACTATAGGAAATCTCAGATGGCCATGGGCCTCCACCTCTGGGAGTCATCACAAACTCCTCCATCCCATCTCCTTACCTTCACAAGTCAGGAAGCACCAGCCAGTGATGCTTCAGCTGAACATTCAGTTGGCAGGCACAAAGGATAGCATCAGGCTTTCTATGCTGACCTCCAGTAAGAGTAAAGCTTTGGAAATCCTCACAAGAAAAGGATCCTACCACCACGGCAAGAATGGCTCAGACCCTCACCGACTGGACACCGTGACTCTCTCAGAGGCTGCAAATTCACATCAGAGCCCTTTTGACCTCTTGACACCTTCAGTGCAAATACCGCACCAGGAAACAGCTATTTGAAAACCAGTGATACCCAGGGAAAAGGTGTGATGACCTCAGATTCCTCTCCCACCCTCCTAGGCCAGCATAATCAAAGTAAGTCTTCCTCGTGAGAGCTTGCTTTCCCATTCAGAAAATCCGCAGACAGCCCTGCCTTCCTCCAAAAGCCTTCCACACTCAGGAGGCTCTGGCAAAGGTTGGTGTTAAAGGAAGTCAACGGATCAATGTAAAGGCTCGTGATGGTTTTAGAAAAGAGGGCAAGACAACGTATTTGAATACTCACTTTGACGAATCTATGAAGTATATTACAAGTGCACCAATGCTGAGAGCAAAGACTAACACCACCTGCAAAAGAAGAGAAAAGCACCATCACTTAAGAGCTGAATGCTGGGAAGTTTACTTATTTATTTTTTGGACACATGCAGCTGCAGCTCGGAACATGGTGCTTTCAGGGGCCTGCTTGGCAGTGTCGCCCCCTTGCTGCGCCCACATACTACCCTGCGCACGGCTCCTCACCTTGCAGTGGACAGCAATCTCACTGCTGGCCAACAGGGCGCAGGGCAGACTTTTGTGTCCCTGGGCACTGGGGTTTCATCTGGCCCTGTTACCTCAGGGTCCAGCTTCTCTGCAGCTGAAGTCAATACACTTCAGTGGGAAAAAAGCAGGTAAAAAAATTGCAGTGATACAATTTTTCATACTATATGTAACCTAGGCCCCAAAGGAACTCAGAGACAGGGACATCAATTTTTAACAGCTTTGCTGAGGTATCATTTACATACCATAAATTCACCCATTTGAAGCGTACAATTCAATCAATGACTTTGAGTAAATTTATCAAGTTGTGCAACCAGCAGTGTAAATCTACTTTCAGAACACTTTCATCACCGCGGAAAAATCCCTCCTGCCCATTAACAGTTAATACCTGTTCCTACCACCGACCCTAAACAAACACTAATTTACTAGCTTACTTTCAGTTTCTGTACAAGACATATTAATCAAAAAGCACAGGGCTTCCCTGGTGGCGCAGTGGTTGAGAGTCCGCCTGCCGATGCAGGGGACACGGGTTCGTGCCCCGGTCTGGGAAGATCCCACATGTCGCGGAGCGGCTGGGCCCGTGAGCCATGGCTGCTGAGCCTGCGTGTCCGGAGCCTGTGCTCCGCAAGGGGAGAGGCCACAACAGTGAGAGGCCCGTGTACCGCAAAAAAAAAAAAAAAAGCACAAAGTCGGTGTCTGTACAAAGGTCCACATATGCGTATGTATACGCATATTTATATTCATTGCATGAATGTGTGTGTGTGCATGTGGTTTGCTGCTTCTCAGGTATTCTGGAGACAGTTGAGGCGCAGGAAAAGCCAAATTAGGTAAATACGATTGGCCAACCTCCTTCTTCACACTCTTCACTCAAAATTAATCACCACTGATACAAAAGACAGTTTTGGCATCTCCTTCAAAGGACACCTGTCACAGTAAAGTCCATCAAACGAATATGCAGCAGATGAGGCTGATGCTGACACTTCTGTCCTCACTCCACACTCTAATTTCTTTATTTACTCCTTCACAGAGGAGGCCAGGAGTGCAACTAAAAGGATGTACAAAAATATAAAGGACGCCAAGAGCCAACAGTGAAGCTTGAGAACAAAAAATAAACGCCACCATCACACGTAATGCCAGGGGGGCAATAAATATCTAGTAGGTGTGCTAATATCCTAAAGGGACTGCAGGGTGAAGGGTGTGAGAAGTGTCAGCCTCTTCGGCATATCTTCAAATTGACATCCCTGTGGCATTGGCTGGTGGATAGAGGTGAATCCCGATTTATGTGACGATTAGGCATGATGGAGTCGTGCGTGTGTGTGTGTGTGTGTGTGTGTGTGTGTGTGTGTGTTCACATGCACGTGAGCCAAACTGGCTGATAGAAAATGAACTCTGCATACCTATCCACTTAAAACATTTACAAGATTCCATGGAGCTACATCCATTCCATGGATGGTGGGCTACAAAGCAGACAACTGACAGTTGAAACAACTGGATATTATAAAAGGAATATGTGGCTTCATAGCATCTGATGAATTCCCCTTATGAAAGGAACTATTAAAACAATACACCACTGGGGCTGATTTTATTCTTCCATTTTGTTTTAAAAACTGAAACGGGCTCCAGCTGAATCCAAGGAAACTCCTGCAGTCTGTCAGTAATTACCCTTGGCCCAGGGCTAATCCCCCTGGCAGGCTCACCTCAGTCTCTCTCCTCACACATGCACTCATTCATTCATTCATTCATTCATTTCTTGCAAAGTTCTACACAAAAACAAACAAAAACGTCAAGAAGCCTCTGCTTTTCCCTCTATTATCTGAATGAGGCAGCAAATCAAGGAGCTTAAGATTAATTTTGATCCGTGCTATTTCTGAGACATAAGCAGTTAGATGCGGGCCCTGACCTCATTCTCAATATGCTGCAAAGAGAAGGGGTGTGGCCAGATCAGAGGGGAAGGACCTCTTCTTCATTCATAAACAGCTGATGCAAGACTAATCTCTTGTCAGTTTGGCTCTGTGTGTGTGTATGTTCATCCGTGAGTGCAGAGCTTCTCTCAGAGCGGGCTGTGCAGGCTTAGGCCATTAAAGCTAGAGAGAAGATGAGGAGAGAGGATGGGGGAAAGGGGAGGAGAGAAAGGGAAAAGAAAGGGAAAAAGTTCTTGCACACCGTATCTGCATCATTCCGAAATGGGCTCAAAAATCTAAGCTCTCCTGCAATGATGATGATTTCCCAGCATCGGAGGGGACAAAGTAGCTGACACTAATGTGTCCCAGCTGCCTCTGTGATGGGGAGTAATGTGCAGCTTTAAGTGAATCAGCCAGTGACAGGAGGGGCGTCCTCTTGCTCTCTTCAGATGCAAAGTCAAACAAATAGCAGCATCGCTCTGACAGGATAAGGGAGGGAGAAAAACCCAGGAGGAAGATGACTCCACAGTTCCCAGGAGCTGAAGGTTCTGAGGAGTGGACCTATTCTTGGGTCCACATGTTCAGCTGGAAGACTCTCAATGGGGTACAGGGTATCCGAACTGTCCCGTCCTCATCCCCCAGCCACCTGCCTCCAGGCACGAAATGATCAATGGGGCGGGGGAGGATCTGCTTCTCAGTATCGAGGCCACCATGCCTGCATGATTTTTAAACTTGCTAAATGGCCCTTTATCATGTCAGGCTTGATTACACTGTCAACCCGGATCCGGGTGCTGCAGATAACGAATCAATCCTTTGGATCTGGCCATGAAAACAGGAATCCAACAGAGATGAATCTACAGGGCCCTAGCAAAGGGCTAGTTCTCTCTCATCTTGCATCTCTCATCTCTATCGCTCTGGCAAACACCCCACTGTCTGAGAACCCTACTCTAAAAATGAAAAACTTCAGTCCAACTATACAAAATGATGAGATTTTAGCCTAAGTGGTAATGGTTACATTACAGGGCATCCCCAAATAATCACCTAAGTATTTCACATTTGCTATGCACAAGGCCCTAGGAAAAACAAAAGGAAGAAATCCACTTGGAGTCATAAAATATGCTCTTTTTCTGCAATAACCCTTACATAGATGAGTCCTGTGCTATTATGCAATTAGTGCTCAATTGTAGGGTACAGGTAGAGTCAATATATAGTAAGATATGGGCTAGATGGGACATACATAAATGGAGGAGCTAGGGAAGGGCGGGAACAACAGAGGTTCTTGTCTCAACAGCCAATTCCTTCTCAAAGTGCCCCTTCTTCCGACGTGTTATGGCTACTCTAATATCCCTTCATTAGGGGGGAGGGCCACTGGGAATCCTTCCATGAGTGACTACAGTCCCAGGGCCCAGGGGCAATGCAGCCCAAGGGACATGGTGAGATGAGACCAAGAAAAGAGACCGGGAAACACTCGCCATCTAGCAGCTGAGTCGCAGAACACCCCTAACAATGACCAAGCACTTTACGAAGTACTGTCGCAAACGAGAGTGTGTGGACACAGTCTGACACAAGGGATGAGGTCAGCAGTCCCTCTCAGCACACCTTGTGCCTGTCATAGAGCCCGGCCAGCCTTCCTAACTCTTCATAGTCTGGGTTCACCACATCACCTTGGCTACCCTGCGTAGTGCTAACTGCCACATTCTTAGGTTTACTGCAAACACCCGTGTGCTGTGTGGCGGTACTGAGTCCTAAGTGATATTTATAAAGTGCCAGATTCCTAAAAACAAAAGCAGTTTGATAAATGTCACTGGAACAATGGTGCCCGTGAGCCATCTATTTTCAAAACTCTAAGATCTAACATGACATGTGTTTGTACAGAAGAATGCTAGGTACATAGACAGACAGACACACACACACACACACACACACACACACACACACACACACACACACACACACACACACACACACACACACAGTATACTAAAAGAATGCCTGTCCTCAACACCTGACACAAGAAGTCTGATGATATGGGATTTCCCTAGCAGTCCAGTGGGAAGACTCTATGCTTCCAATTCAGGGGGCGCAGGTTCCATCCCTGGTCAGGGAAACTAAGACCCACATGCTGGGCGGCCAAAAAAATAAATAAATAATAAAAATTTTAAAAAGCAGGAAAATTATATAAAAACAAAAGTCTGATGATACTTGGTGAGCAGAGAGGAGAAAGACACAGCCATCTTCACGACGGAAATTCGAGCAGACCCCGAAAACCTTCCAAATGTCTTGGAAAGTTCAGAAAAACGCACAACAGTACAGCGAAGCACAGAATATCCTCCCTCAGGTCACTGAAGCTCCCCAAGGAAAAGACGGCTCCATCGATGCGGTCTGGAGGTGAATGAATCTGGAAAGCTGGCTCTTCAGAGATGCTGCCTGCTCTAGAACCTGGTTTCAAGCTTTCGGGTTTAGGCCCAAATGCTTTCAAACCCACACACAGGGCTACATGGGCCTTCAGACATGGACTTGGAGCAGAGGGTCACAAAGGTTGCTGCCACTCATAATCCTATCACCTGAGGAGCTCTCCTTAAAAGCCCTCACCTCACCGGGGGACCAGATAATTGAGAACTGGGGTGAGGGGGAGGCCGCATATCTCTATTTTTAACAAGCTCCTCCAGTGAATCTGATGTGTGGCCAAGAATGGGGAGTCACTGAATTTAAACCCATTAGAGAAAAACCACTTAGCTCAAGTCAGAGATTAATTTACAAATGTCACCTTAACAAGTAGCCCATTAGAACATATGTATGAGGCCTGCACACTTTGAGAAGCGTGCTAGGAGTACTCTAAAAAATACAGAGAGGGGGATGAACTCATTCTCTCCTGAGCGGGTTTTACACATTCTACTCAGCTCACCGCAG